AACAAAAAAAAAAAAAAAAAAAATGGCTTTGAGGCAGCCAGCCTGAAGCTGCGCGTGAAGATCTCCAAGTCTTCTGACCTCCTGGCCAACAAAGGCAGGGGACACAGGTTGGGGAGAGGGTGGAGTTGATGAATAACTGCCCCTCATTTGCCAGTCTCACTACAAAGCTCCCTCAAATCCCCTCAATCCCAGGACTAACTGAATCACTTAGCATGCTCTGCTATTCGGAGGCAGGCACGATGTTGGACAAGTGACATTTCCTCTCAAAGTGCCTTTTCTTCAAATTGGAAAGATTTATGTTATCCTCCTCTGGCTGTTAGTAATCCCAGAGCATGGCAACAAAAGCCTCAGAATTAAGTCTTCCTCATTTCTACAGCTCACTTCTCCCTCCTTTGTCTGTTCCAATTTCAAGTAATTTCATATCATTTAGTGAGCATGGGCTCATTACCATTGTAGGGGATTAGAGGAGTAAAAGTCTGAGAAATGCCTGCCAGTGGGGCAGATGGCCTACAGACAAAGCTCAGGGATCCTCATACTTTTGCAGACATCAGAATCACCTGGAGAAATGGTCACAGCACAGCTTTGAGAACCACCCTTCTAAATTAGTGATTTGTAATCTCAAGCGACTCAAGGGAGAATGTGTACTACAGTCTCTAAAGAAGCTTTTTCCGTAAGACACTAGATAGTCCCTACTCCTTGGAAACTTGGCTTTAATCCATTCTAGTATGGAGAAGGGTGGGGAGATATTGTCCAGGTAATTGTTCCTTAACTACTGCATAGCCGTCCATTTGACAGCAAATCTGAGAGCAATCTAAATTCACTTCAAAGAGATAAGAACTTCTTTGATTGCCCTCCTATCACCAAAGAAGATTTGCAAGAAGCCCCAGGTTGAGCTGATCTACTGAGATATGAATCTGTGCTTTTATCTTTTTGCAGTAGAAGACTGGATGGCAGCATTCTTCCCAAGATTACGTTGCTAAGGGAAGCAGAATGGAATTTAAAGCCAGGCCTCTTGGGGTTTAGATCCTCAGATTTTCCTGAGGTGGTGAGTGTTGGCTGAGTACTCACTTTCTTGCTCAGCTTTTATGCTTGGCAGAGTCAAAACTGTCTTATCCTCTTCCTAATTTGTAAACAGGGAGCATACAGCAGTAATCCACCAGAACAGGGGACACAGAATTGTTCTGTAAAGGGCCGCACAGGAAGTAGTTCAGGAATACAATTCAAGTGCCATTATTGCATGAACATGCTCATAGACAATATATAAAGAAGTATGGTAGTGTTGCAATAAAACTTTATCTACAAAAATGAGTAGTGGGCCAGATTTATCCTGCAGGCTATGGTTTGCTACCCAGATGGACGCTGGAAACCAAGACAGGAACCTGAAACAGGCTTGGTGCTTCAGGCTACATACAGCCAGTTTCAGTAGACCGTTTTGGCTCGCTTCTGAATCATGAACTGTGCTGAGAAAACTGCCAGATGCTGCTAAGGGTAGCTGGAGAGCAGGTTACCTGAACACCAGAGCTCCATCCCGAAGGCCCAGGGAAATGAAGTCACTGTTGGATCTCAAGGGGCTATCTCCCCTCCACAGCAACAGACCATCCTTGGCAGTTGTCTTAAACCTCATGAATGCATTTGATCTTGATCCTGACACTCTGGAGCAAATACACAAACAAGTCCATGAAATCATCTACCGTCTGATTCCCAGTAATCCCAGTTAGACCTGGCAACCCCAAGCAACCAGGTGTGAGCATCATCTGGCATTTCTGACACACACTTCCAGGAGAATAGAAATAGTATCACCTCCATGAGTCATACCATCAGTGTAAAGGTCTGGATGCTCACTCAGCAGCACTGTCTATCAGCCAGGTAAAATGAACCTGCCAGGTGACTCATTAGCAAGACTGGTGAATGTCCTGGTTCCAGGTTGCATCACAGTACACAACTCAGTCTTCCCTCTTTTCTGTCCTAGTGCTCAAGGGCTCTTGGGAAACTGTTCCCCACTCTCCCACAGAAAGTGGGCTTCCTAATTGCCAAGAGGCTTAAATGGGCATCTGTTCTGGGCTGAGACCCTGGCTGTGGAAGGCCAGTTCTGATAGTGATTGTCCTTGGGCAAAGTCTAGGCGGTGGCAACTCTGACAGAGGATGTGACTTGATAGGATAATGGCTCAGAGGGTCATATGACAGAGCCACAGTGGAAAGGAACAGGAAGCTTGAGGACGGGAGGAGTGTTGAGGTAGGCAGGGCTCGGCTCTGTATCCAGGGCTGGGGATAGTTTCTAGCACTTATCAGTGCATGCCAACAGCTCTTGACAGTGCTTGGAAACAGACTAGTTCAGAGATTCATTCATATTAAAGTGATTAGTATTTCATGTGACATAGGTCAATAAGCAAGTCTAAAGTCCTGGAACTAAAGCTGAGATGGAAGTAAGCATACTTTAATGTTGCTATTGGCATGACACTACTAGCAAAGTTTCTTTTCTGTTCTCCCACTGGTTGTAAAATACCTCCTTCTTTGCCATAAATCTGAACCTATAGAATGCTTTCACTAGTGAACAGTGGGTGGGGACTCCTATTTAGGCTTCCAAAAGCCTGATGTAGACAAGAAGAGACCAAGTTTGCCTTTCCCATGTTGGCTGGCCCCCTCCCTGGGAAGAGTGGTGACGTCCAGTAGCCAACTGCAGGCCCACTGCCTAAAAATCCACTATTTCCAAATTTTTACTCCAAGCTCCTGCTCTTCCTCACTTGCCTGGGATATATTCATTCATTGGTGTAAGCCAATCAAGGTAGTTTCACTTATCTCGTGAGAGGTTGACTTAGGAGTAGACATATGACAATAAGAAAGAGGAAATTTATCAGGATGATTCTTGGAAAGATTTCTTCCCTTTCTCATATGAGAAAAAAATCTTTCTTACATTTACTGCCTAATCTCCTATTTTATAACCATATTATGAAGATTATATGAGCAGCTGGGGAATATGCTGAAGATAGCAAAATAGACATATGGATAAGATTTGGGTCTTTGATTCTATAGCTGATTCTATGAATTAATCAACCCAGGATCTAGTCTAAGTCTGAGCTCTTGTTATATGAAGTGCTTAATACCCATGTTTGAGACACTTTAAGCTGACTTTTCCGTTACTTGATACAGAACACATCTCTGAAACATACACCCTTAACTTGGCTTTTGTCTGTGGCTTCACACATAGGCACATAGATTTACCTACACATACGTGCACACATGTGCGTGCCCATACATACACACTGTCGGAGTTGCTCTGTTTGGAACCTCCCTGTCTCTCACTCTCACCAAACCACCCAATGGTCTCTCACTGAGCCTCAGGGTCTGAAGACTTCGGCCTCTTTCAAGGTGTTACTGCCTTCTGGGGATGGAATGATCTTCTATACCTGGAAAGGGTTTGAAAAAGGAAGCACATCTCTGATGTCTGGGAAAGCTTCTCGTGCAAAGACAGCACAGGTAACTACAAATTGGGATTAGAGATGAAGCACTGCCTTTTAGCTTAAAGATCTGCCCTCATTTTTGGGGATGTAGTCAACCTGAACAGAAAGGAAAGTTCCAGAACGAACTGAGGGATATCACAGTGTAAATGACAAAGGATGGGAAGGGAGAGAAGAGGTAAATTGAAAGTGCCCAGGACAAGCTTGCCTGGGTGGAGGAGTTTGCTGAGGGTCAGCCTTGTCGCCCCCCCACCTACCCAGGCTGTTCACAAACATGAACTATAACTCCAGCCCACCCCTGGAACTCATGCCACCAGGGGATTAACAGCTATGGCTGTTTCCTCATGACATGCTCTCGTAGCCACACGAGAAGAGCTGAGAAGCCCTGACTGCTCTGGCCAGAGCCTAAAGAGAACATGGGAGCTTTGCAGATCAAGAGGCAAGGCAGGGCTGAACTGGCAGGACGTGGGCTTGGAGCTGTGTGGCTGGCTGGGGTGCAGCCCTGTGGCTGGGGCAGAGTCACAGACCAGCCATGGAACAGCACAGAGCTCACTGCTCTGCTCTGGGAGTCAGTCAACCCTACCTTTGTGTGCATCGACTTTTCTCTGCTTCTCAGAACCTGAGCATTGGAAACCCCAGGGGTGGTCACATTACTTTCTGCAGTCCTTTGGATGACTTTTAATGGGGTTGTTTGGAAAGCTGATGTTTTTGAGTTAAGTTTACTTTTGTTTTATTTTGTTCTGGTTTCCATGTTTATGCGTTTCCCCCACTCCCATCCGGCCATGGCCCTTTTTGAGAATTATCTTCTGACATGAAAGATAATAAAAAACCCAGAAAGATACTGAGGAATTTACAATGAGAGAGAGAGAGAGAGAGAGAGAGAGAGAGAGAGAGAGAGAGAGCTTATTACCTCTTGAGGATGTCTGGATTATCATATGTCAGATAACTGCGGCCAATAAACTGTGGGATCTCGATGGCTTCTGTGATAGCTGTGGCAGAACAGAAAATGAGGTTACAGGGTTCATGGCTCTTTGGATTTCTGCACTCACACATGACATGGCAGGAACATACCAGGAAGGCCAGCCCCTAGAAATGTGCCACTTAGCAACTTGCCAGCCCCTTTCTCTTGGCTGTACATCGAGTTGGCCAGATTCAGGGAGAACCAATCAGATGACCTGGCGTCAGCACCTCCACACTTGTCCCTCCCTGGGGACTGGCAGCCATTGTCAGTGGCCCAAGGGCTACAGAGAAGGTTGTGCAATGTGCTAAACCTTGAACTGTTCCCAATGATTCTTGGAAACCACAGAGTAGAGCTGGGGCCACATGGGGAGCAGCTGGGGATAACCCCAGATTTTCGCCAAGGGAGGCAGAAAAAATAATTTTTAAACAAGGCCTACTAGAGCTTCTTTATTTAATGCTAAAGTATATGAAACCCCTCAGCTATGACCTTGAGAGACTGCGGAAGGGCAGTGGATGAAACTTTGATGCCAATGTTTATAAATCACCTTCCAGTGTGATGTTGCACAGGCCTTCACCATGGTCTCATGAAGTAGTAGAAAGTGTAAGGCAAGGGCAGGGAGGGTTATCCCCTTTCATAGAAGAGGAGCACAAGACACAGAAAGCATCAAGAATTGCCCAGGATTATTAGCTAAGAGAGCAATAGACCACAATGTGAACTGGCTCTGCTTACTTCTGGCTCCTGGCTACCTCTTTACCAGCCAATATTTTAGAAGTGAATTTCCTTCCTCCCAATTTCTCATTGCATGTGTGTTGCTGGTATATAGAGGTGAGCACAGTTGCCTTCCAATTTCTCATCGTTGGTTTTCCTGAGGAATTGTCTTTTACACTCAACAGGGGAACAGATTGAGGATCTGTGTCTGGCATCACAAACTGGGATGTGGTGAGGGGATTTCTACTAGAGAGATAACAGAAATGCTTCTTTCCTCTTTGGAAAGATACAGAAATAAGAGTTTAAAGAAATTAAGGTAGAAGAAATTTCATATTCAAAAATGCACAAAATGAGAGAGTAAGTCACCTTATAAAATAATTATAGCTTCAAGAAAACATGCAGCTGGTACAAAGAAGACACAGTACTAGGGACTCTACCCCAGGAGAGAAAACATACAATTATTTGATGTTATGAACAGTGTAAGAATTTTTAAATTTAATTTTTAAACACAAAGACAGGGAGGGAGGGAGAGAGTCAGGAAACTCAAAGACATTGGGCCCTCAAGTATAAATTCTTGTTCCGTCAGGTTACCATGTCATCATGAAAAGAAGAGAAGGGAGGAAGAAAGCAGGGGGAGGGGAGAAGGAAGGAGGAAACAAAGCAAAAAACCAAGCAAGAGAAGTAAAACTTTAAAAGTTAATTTCTGAGCTCAGTATCCAAGAAATTGCTTTGCTCTTCGCCGAAGCAATGTGGCACTGGGCACGGGCCTGCTGGCCTTGAGTGGCCATGAGGGACAGAGACGAAGCCTCTGTGGCCACACCACCAGCCCCTCCCTTCGGGTTCATAGGGTTAGTAAAAAGGAAAAGCACTGGGGTGCAAAGTGACCAGAGCGGGGACGTGAGCTGAGAAGAAAAGCAGATGGGAAGACTGAAAATAAAGACAACGCTGCAGCCGGGAAAGGAGGAAATGCCAAGAAGAAGGAGGACGAGGAAGGAAAGGAGAGCAGAGGCCAGCAATCACCCACGAGGAAAGGAGCAGAGAGTAGAAATGGGAAAGAGAAGGAGGGGAAGCCCAGGAAGAAGCCCAGAGGGCTAGGACTGGAAAGGAGAAGGGACGGAGGGGAGTAGGAAGGGAATCCAGGCTGCAGACCTAGAGGAGGTGGAGCTGGGTGCGGTGCTGCATGATCTCGGTTCTCTAGGAGGCTCAGGCAGGAGGATAATGAGTTAGAGCTGAACCTGAAAACTCTGACTAGTAAGACCTTCTCTCAAAAACAAACAAACGAATAAATAAAAATTTAAAAAACCGGGGGATATAAGGCCAAGTCCCCACCCAATACAAAAAAAAAAAGCAAACAAAACTGGAGGAGGTGGGAGGGAGCACTTGGCCGAGGCAGGGCCCCTGCCTTCAGGAAAGCAGCTCTGGGAAGGGGACCCAGGGGAGAGCATGCTGTGACTGGCAGGAAGCCCTTCCCAGGGCTAAACATAACCATGGGACCCCCAGCGGGTTTGCTCACCCCAGGGTGAGGTGCAGCCAAGCCTGTCCCTGCTGTTGTTGGCCGGGTCCCTGGGCCTGCGGCCAACAGCCCTTATTCCCCTGGACTTCATGAAACGATCAGGACATGCTTGTCACATATCAGCTCTGCGCACAGAGCCTCGAGAGAGGTTCATCTAGGGGAGCCCCGGAGGCGAGCTACAAGGGAAGCCCCGCCCAGGGCTCAGGTGCCCCCATGTACCAGCCAGGATACAGCTGTGTCCCGAGGGCCCACACTCTCCATCTTGGAAGAGTCCCACCACCCGCTGGGCACATCTGAGCCCTCGCTTCTCACCCCACTTCCCCCTGAATGTGGTTGGCTTGCACCATGCCCCAGCCTGGCCAGAGCCTGCCCTGGCAGGTCCTGGCAGGGGCCCAGTGCTCAGAGCCTCTCCCAGGACGCACTGTACTTACTATTGAGGCAGTAGTTCCCACACTCTGCCAGGCGCCAGCATGAAAAAGAACAGGAGAGTCAGCTATTCACAGTCTCTGTAAATCTCAGCGGTGCTGGTCGCAGAGCCCTTGAAACCAGCCTGCCTCACTCACAAAGCCCTGCTCAGGGTCCAGAAGGAACCAAATGGGAACTGTAGCACAGGCCCCTGGAACTCTCTCCTGGCACGACTGGCAGATTGGTGCGAACTCATGCACCTCTCCTCCTCCATCATGGCTTCCCCAAGCTGTCTGGCACTTCTGAGGGTCTCCCACCTTCAACTGACAAACCAAATCTCTACTGCACTATAGAAAGAAGTACTCACCTTGCCAATGGTTAGATTTTTCTTTGCTCTAGGCTGCATACGATAAGCCCTCTAGTAGTGGAAAATATCCCCTTAATTCTCATCCATTCCCCTTTGTGTGATTCCAGATACCTGGCTATTTCGGGATTAACAAAGGGCAAAGATATCCTCCGGAAATAGCCCCACTGAACAAGGTAGAAATGGTGGGGAGGTCCGCAGTATAGTCAATGTGCATAGATAAATATCAGGTCTACAGTGCAGCTAGCATGGCCCCCCAGCCAGTTTTGGCGCTTTTGTGGTTTGTCCTAATACTATGATAAACCTGGTTATATTTTAACCTAAACTTCATACCTCATTTGTTCTGCATTCTTTCCTCTGGGGCAATGGCTTTTATGGATGTGTTTGTCAAAATGTGTTTTTGTTATTCCCTCACATTTATACTGTCACAGTGTGCCATTTGATAGCATAAAAAATACGCCCCAACGAATTGTAGCTTTCAAAAGTTCCACAGCCCAGACAAAGCAAATTTCCTACTTAAGGGACTTCAAGTTTTCAGTAAAGAGGTGAAAGGACAGTTTCATATACTCTGCAGGTGTCAGTTTGGGTCCAACTAAATCGGGGGACTGTCAGTAGCATGTTGGTGGTTGGGCATCGTGTCCAGTGAGACGCTTTCCCAATGGGCAGCACGCCACCTTTGTGGACAGTTCTATGGGCCCAGAATTCTTCATTGTTTGAGTTGAGCATCTCAAATCCAAAAATCTAAAGTCTTCAAAGCTTCAGGGCTTCAAAATCTGAAAATTTCTGAATGCTTAAAGTGGAAAATTTCACACCTGAGATGATATGATGGGTTAGAATTAAATGATTAAAAATAACATATATAGCCAGGCATGGTGGTGCACTCCTGTAATCCCAGCACTCGGGAGGCTGAGGCAGGAGGATCGCTGTGAGTTCGAGACAAGCCTGGGCTACATAGTGAGTTCCAGGTCATTCTCGACTACATAGTGAGGCCGTGTCTCAAAAAATAAAAAAATAAAATAAAATAAAATAAAATAAAATAAAAATAAAAATAAATAAAAAAATAAATAAAAAAATAAAAATATCATGTAAAATTGCCTTTAGTCCATGTAAAAGTTTTATATGAAACATAAATAAACTTCATGTCTAGACTTGGGCTCCAGCCCGGAGATAGCTTTATGTGTATGCAAGTATTCAAAAAATGTAAAAATCTGAAATTACAAACACTTTCATCTCAAGCATTTTGGGTAAGAGATATTCAATCTGTATCAAATTGATTTTGTATGTACGAAATAAGCAAACCAACACTTTTCCTATGCTATTAGCCCTTCAACTGAGGACTAGCCTCTACACTAAACATCCCAAAACTGTTGAATGATACACCAACCTAAAGAAATATCCTTGTAATATGCATAATTTATATGCTTTATTAATCTGCATTCTTTTTAAACATGGGTATATATTTTCTGAGGCTATATTTTCTTTTACATTGGGACAAAATTGTTTACAAGTCAGTCCCTGCTACAGGAAGTGCATCTGCTACCAAGAGCATAGAATACCCTAAAGGTTGTGAGGGTGGTAGATCAGCACTGATCAGGCCTGGCTGAATGGTTTAGGACTGTGTCCGCCTGAGTGAGGCACGTGGCCCTAAATCCAGGTTTCCCCTCTAGAGCGCTTCTCCCGTCCTGGGCTGAGCGGCTCTCCTGTAAAGAGAAACACCTCCCTCTAGTGGCCAGCGGGGCTCCGAATTGTCGGAGGCCAAACTGATCTAAGCAATGAACAGGTAGAAACAGGGCTCAGTAGTTCTGCCCAAATGACCTGTCAGCTAGTGGCTGGTAGACCCCATGAAAAGCTTTTGTTTCCTGTACCTCTCTTGGATACTCAGAACACAGCAAAGTCTCTGAGAAGGCCTGCGGAAGAGAGAGCTGTTTTATTATTTATCCAGAGTTACTTGAACTTATTTGACCACATAACTGCGCTCCCAAGTGCATGGGACTTCGCGTGTCTGTGTGCGTCTCTCTGTGTGTGAGTGTATGTGGATTGTGGGTGGGGCGTGAGTGTGTGTGTGTGTGTGTGTGTGTGGACACACAAAGCAGCCATTAATATTCCTCAGAACTTGGTTTTTACATGAACTTTGTGAATCTCTGCTTTAAGGTATTAGTAACTTCCTTAGATACAAGATCTCGAGGGACTGGATCCCAAGAAGGATAAATTCTGACAAGAGTAGAGAAAGGAGGAAGCCAGTCTCTGGGGCTGGGAGGGATGTTTCAAAGGGGAGGCTTGCTGATAACCTTCTGTGAGATGAGAAGGGGCCTCTCTCTTGGGGTGGTGTGTGGGGTGCTGAGATTTGTGGTAGGAGATACCTAAAAGCGAGAGCCCCCAAATGGAAGGTGAAAAGACCAGCTTTATGGTCCTGTTAAAGTGTTAGAAAATCTTCTGGTTCTTTCTTTCCCCAAATGTTCAAGTTTTGGATGAAGAGGCTTCATCTTATATGGCTCTAGGGAAACTATGGTCTGTGGAGCAGTTAGAAGGCGGGGGTGACTAATGCCATCTCTGTCTGGGTTCAGGTCCCCACAGCCTGCCTCCTACTTCTCAGGGACAAAGAGGAGATCTCTAGGCCACCAGAGTGGTCTGCCAGCCCCACAGGTACTTCTTTAATCCTCCCCAGGCACTAGAACAGGACAGGAAGTGATGGGATGTGGGCCACTCCAATCTATGAGCCTTTCTAGCATTTGCACAAGGCCTCCATTTCGTCTGAATCAGTATGTTGATTTCAAAACCCAAGGTGACACTGATGCAAGACACAAGGCAACTAACAGTTTGTCTGGGTTTTAACTTCAGTTCTAGCCCACGTTACAGGAAAAGAGGCCTAACTGCCCTCTGGTTCTCTCTGTCCGCTTGCTCAGATCATGCCAGGACCCAGGCTCTCAATGGCTTCTGCCCCACCCTTCTGGTGATAGTATCAGTTTCTCACTGAGCCTGAAGATAAGTCACAAAACCATAATGTGAGCATTTAATACCTATTACGGCCAGTGTTCCAAAGAAAGAAATGGAGACTAAGAAGATCACAAATGATCCTTGTCTTCTTCCTTCAATTCCCAAAGCTCAGTGTTCCGTTACGCTTGGTCTTTATAAACTTACAGTTAGTGTTACAAAGAAGCTTGAAGTGCCCATAGTAATATCAGAGACTTGGGAGGGAAGTGCAAACACTATGTGTGAAATCTAAAAGCAATTTTCTCAATTTTCTAAACCAACGAGTCCCTCTAGAATAAAAGCTTTGTAAGTACAACCTCTGCTAATGGTGAACAACATTCTTGTTCTAATAATCTGCAAATAGGTCAGCTACTCTTCTTTGTTAAAAAAATGTCATGATTTGTCATGCAGATTTCAGCACTCATTTAAATACAGGAAATACCACGAAGTCTTCTAATTGGCAAACTGGCAATTTTCATGTTTTCTGAGAAGGCTGTGAAAAGTTCTTACCATTTCATATTATCTGTCTATAATATATAGTTTTCCTCTAAGCCTTAATTTTGACAAAATGTAGGAACCTGGATAGGAGAAAGGAGAGATAGAGAGAGAGAGAGAGAGAAAGAGAGAGAGACTCCCTCACGGGCTCACTACTTTATTCTTTTCCTAGCTCCTGAGCAGTGGAGGCAAAACGACATTGCAAAGAAGGTCCGCATGGCCCAACCTGGGGCACATATGTGGGCAGGCCTATTCTAGGTGTCAGGACCATAGCTTCTGTTTCCCCTGAGCAGCTACAGAAAGAGAGTTGAGCAGGATCTTGTGGTCTACGACCTGCCCAGTTTTCAGACAAGGGCAAGATGAAAACTAAGTAGCTTATAGCACCAGCTTAAGGCTTTTATTTTTCTAAACAATAGTAACGGCTAGGACTGGATGAGCCTTACCAGCCACTCTAAAATGCTCTGATATCATTGTCTCAGTCAGTCTACACCACAACCCTCATGGTAGAAACTATTGCTATAATCATTCTCACTTTACAATTAAGAAAACTGACACATAGGGAGGTTTAATGGCATGGAAAATAGTACTCCAAGGAAAGTTATTCATACTTCAAATTTGGGGCATCATATGCATAATTTTTATTTTTCTGTGTTTGGGCAATATTTCTCTTTAGAGTACTCGCAGGCAGGGATCAAAATAGTGAAAGTATTTCTCACCCTTAAAGCACAGGCATCCCCCTGCCAGGACTGGCTCTGGGAATGGCTCATATGCACAAGTTCTGGGAAGCCCTGGTATATTATAGGTTAACCTTTTCATGGTAAGACCTTGAGGGTATTCCCAGAGAAGGAGCTAGTACAGCGGGTGGAGAAGCTGCTTACCTATGGTTACAGAAGTATTTCATCACTTACTTCTTAGTAAGAAAGTATAGCGGCTTCCGTATAACTGACAACCAAATCAGTTACTGAAATCACTGGTCAAAATATTTAATGAATGTAGCTGTACTGTATGCCAAAAATGCACCAATAAACTCAATAAAAAAATACAGCATGGCTGTACCAGTGAAACCGATTCTCTCTTGAGTCCTGGTTTCCCCACTACGCTGTGTTCTCCACTCCCTCATAAGTATGGCGTGACATCCCTGTGTATACCTTTCTGGCAGTGCAGGCCCTCGAAGCCCAAGGGGCAGTCACATTCATAACTCTCCTTTCTGGGCCGGCAGCTGCCCCCGTGGGCACAGGGAGCGCCGTGGGCACAGGGATGGGCTGCATTCTCCACGTTCACACCAGATGTGAAATCATGCTTCATGTGGATGGTGTGGTCATTGAGGACGATCTTGGGAGAGAGAATTTAAAGGAAATTTAGGAGTTGGGAAAACATCTTTGAAATTTCCTAGAGTTTCCCTCAGTATACCAAGCCAAGTAACACATAGTAAGACAGGCTAAAAACAAGAAAAAAGTACAGTTGCTGCTGTGATTGTCTTGTGAGGGCCTCCCCAGGCTTTTATCTGGTGCAAACTGCAAACTGAGGAGTATAAGCCAAAGTTGCTATTTGTTTTCATCAACCTCCTTCCCTGCTGTAGAAGTATCTGCAGGGACTGGGGCCGGGTGCCTACCCCGGTGGTCCCAGAGTATGTGGATAGATTTGCTATAAGAATTCATTTTCATGGAAAATAGCATTCATGGAATGTCTGCTGTCCATAGACCCAAGAAGAGATATTCTAAGGAAGTGGGGTTGGAAAACTATTCTAAGAGTGTTACAAAACAGAATCTTAAAACTTCCAACTTTCTCAAAGCTTCTTTCTTGGGTGAAGATTACACTGATCACAGCCCTCCATTCCGTCATCTGAGGTCGTGGCGGCCCAGTAAACACATTTCAAAGGTGGAGCCTGTACCTTCTGGATGCTCCCACTATACGGCTTGAGGATCCCTGAGTTCTTCTTCACGTCGTCATAGCTGGGGACTCCGCCAATAAAAATGTGCGTGTTGCACTTAATCTGAGTGAAGCCTCCCTGCCAAGAGATTAAAACAGCAAATCACAATGCAATTTCGAACAGATGGTTAAGACGAATGAATATGTCTTTAGTTCTCTGCGGAGACAGAGGAGGCTTCAAGGCCCATTGTAATGATCATCATCTTCTCCTTCTCCTTCTCCTCCTCCTCCTCTTCTTTCTTCTTTCTTCTTTTTTTTTCCCCAGTGCTGGGGATAGAACCCCGAGTTTCACATATGCTACTCAAGCGCTCTACCACTAAGCTGAACCTCTAGGCCTTTTAAAAATCTTACTTTGAGACAAGGCCTTGTTAAATTGCCTGGAATGGTCTTGAACTTCAATCCTCCTGCCTTATCCTCTTGAGTAGCTGTGATTATATGTGTGTGCTGCCATGCCTGGCCTTTGAATGTTGGTAGATTGTTAGCCTCTCTGAAACTCAGTTTCATCATTTGCAGAGCAAGAATCCCTCTGAGTGTCGGGATGAGGGGGAGACTGCATTACTGTAGGCGATGTGTGCAGAGCTCCTTCAGAAGTACCTTCCTGCACAAAGACTACCTCCAGCCAGAGCTCAAGTAGGGCCGTATGACGTACTTTAGCCTATAAAACATGAGAGAAAAGCCAGATCCCCTGGGAGAAGCTTTCCCCATGCCCTTTCCCCCCCTTGCCTCTTCCTGCCTGGGTTTCCAGTGAAAGCTGCAGCTACCCATTGGTGAACCTTCAGGGTGAGCAAGAACTGAACCCTTCTTATCAGCTTGTGATATCGCAGGGCTGCTTATGAGTGAATACAGCTCAGTCTACCTATCTTGGCTGCTGAGATACCATTTAGTTAGCACTTTGTCCAGAGTTGGATGCCTAATCAGCATTCCAGTGTGTGGCTGCTGTTACATTTGCTAATGGTAGAAAAACCTCTGATAGACAAAGGGAAGGGAAAGCATGGTGCAGGGCCGGCAGTCCTGTTGATCAAATGCAACGGATAAAAGAATTCTTCATTCAATTCTCAGGGAGCTTTCCAGTATCAGTGCCCAGAGGCTTTCCCTGCTACTAGTGGTTTTAGTAGTCTAAACTCCAACAGATAGCTAGATAATAAGCTGTGTGCAGTAGTTAAACATCTAAGCTCATTCCAACATGAGCTATAAGCAAAATGTTAAACGCTTATAATCAACAGTTAAATAAAAATTTGAGCTCATTGGAGATAAGCACACCTTAGTTATTTCCTTTGTTGCAGTAAAAGAAATGCAAACACTAGCATCATTCAATCACGTATTAAACAAACATTATCAAGCACCCACTATGTCGTAGGCACTGTGCTAAGTACTGGACAAAAAATAGTAAATAGAAAGACAGAATCCTTGCCCTTCGGGGGTCTGTACTGGTGGTGAACACAGATAAGTGCATGGGTAGGTGAGATCAGCACACAGGAGGAGTGTGCAGGCTCCCAGGAATGCATACAGGGCACAGTGATATCTCTTGCCTTATCCTAAACACAAAGGAGTGGGGGAGGCGAGGCATAGTTGTGCAAACTGGAAGAAGTCAGGTTGGGAGGGCATGTAAAGTATAGGATGGAGGCAAGGAAGAGCCAGGTAATGGCTCATACAGGACCATACAGGACCATAGAAACCATGATAGTAGTGCTAAGCAGGACAGGGAGGAAGGAAGGCAAGGCAGGGAGGGAGAGGGACAGGGAGGGGTGAAAGAGACACCTGTGTTTAGGACAATTATGGACCAGAGGAGGGAGAGTGGACTTTAGTCATATCAGGCATGGAAAAGTGGAAGCAGAGAGTTCATATAGGATTTCCTTGTATCTTGGGGAGCACTCATAGGGTCTGGAACAGCCAGATGGACCCAGGGAAATCTTTATTATATTAACAGACAAAGTCACCCATGGTCAGCACCAGGCATGGTGGTGGACACCTGTAATCCCAGCACCTGGGAAGCTAAAGCAGGAGGATCACCATAAATCTGAGGCTAGTCTGGGCTGCATAGTAAGCTCAAGGACCTGAACTACACGTGAGACTCTGTCTCAAAAAAAAAAAAAAAAAAAAA